GAAGCCGTTGTAGCGTTTGTTTGTGGACGCGCCTATTATGAATCAGTTTGCACATAAAGTACTGACGCCTGGTTCTTTGACTGTTGAACTGCCACCACAAAGGGTTGAGCTCTGATGAGAGAATGATCTCGCGTGACGTGGAATCACTTCTGTTTTTATCGAGGCTCACATGATTTGGGTTTATCTGTTGTTTAGCTATTGCCTCGTGATTCCAGCTAAAACTACATTTGATTTGCCACTAAAACAAGCCAAATATTTTGCATTGTTTCAGTATTGTTTTTACCAATGGGCTGTATTAACCACTTCTAGCTTTACACCGTTTACTACAAGTCAATCCAAATGTAAGCATATTAAAGCGTTTACCCTCTTATTTTACACAGGTTGATATTTGTTCCTTTTCAACACACTTTTCATTCATATCAATTGCTTTTGGGTCAGCGAATCAATCTTGTCAGCCATGTTCCAAAATGTCAAACTTTGTTTCTGTCATATGTCTGAAGAACACGGGACTCGATTTTATGTTCAAAGTGAAGGAAAAGTGCTTCAAACATTGTGAGGGCTTATTGTACATTTAATTCAAGGGAGCCACAGGAAGTATTTACTCATCATTTTGACACAATCCAATTAAAGCATTTTTTAAACCAAATACACTCCATGTCTGTATCTCAAGTAACACTTTGTGACTTAATTCTCGGTTTGATGTGAGGGGTCTTAAACTACGGGGCTTTGAGCGTGGAAAAATGTGTCGGGTCAGCGTTTTGCCTCGACCAACGATCGGCCACGCTTGGTCATTATATCATAATGTTTCCCTGTTTTCACTTTTTGAATGACGTCTATTGAAGTAACGAGTATTTCTTTATGAGTTTAGACTGATAACATTCAGGTCTTAACAAGAAGGAGGACATTAATCTCACCAAGTGCCGTCAGTGGCCATTCCAGTGTGTTTCTCTTTCAGTGGTACAAAACGTTGATGCAATGAATGAAACTTTTAGTCATGTTGGCATGTGTTACTATGTAAAAGTTAAATTGTCAACATCTTACGTGCTGTAGCAAGCGTGAGTTTAGAAGAGCCGGATGTAACTGACAGGGCTAAAACCAAGCCAGTCACCGAACCTTTACAGCGTTGTGTTACTGCCGGTCACGGCTGGTATCAGTGGGCTAACTGGGCTTACCTTTCTGGCATTTACAGTAAAGATGTTAAAATAAACAACTTAAAAATACAACAAAGTCCATGCTCAATAATCCAGGTATACAATCCAACATTTTTCAGTCAGGTCCTCTGGACAGTTTCTTTTTTTGTGCTGAAACGTTTCACCTTCGATCCGGAAGGCTTCATCAGTCGAGGAGACACAACAAAACTGATTCTTCCTCCAACCGCTGGCAAGGGCTGACAAGCAGAACTGGTTTGTTCCTCTCTGGAGTAAGCTGTTGGGGAAGAGTCCGTTTTGTTGCGTGTTTCCTGGACTGATGAAGTCTTCCGGATCGAAGGCGAAACGTTTCAGCACAAAAAAAGAAACTGTCCAGATGACCTGACTGAAAAATGTTGAACTTAAAAAACATTTAAGAAATAATGTATCACATTCTGTTATATTTACAACAAAACTGGTGTCAAACCGCCTGGGGAAAATCCCAGGGTCGTTCCAAAGGGCTAAATTCTGACAGCCCCATTCTGTTACTGTTCCATGGTTCAGAATGATTGACAGACATCAGGGGCCTTTCCCCGGCACAAACAGAGTAATATTGTGTATGTTGTTCAGTGTCAGGAGGGTGATCAGTCTTACATCGGGGAAACTAAACAGTCACTGGCCAAAAGGATGGACCAGCACAGAAGATCAACATCATCAGGCCAGGACTCTGAGGTCTACACTCATCTCCAGGCCAGCGGTCACTCTTTCAGGGATGAAGATGTTCACATCCTGGACAGAGAGGAACGATGGTTTGAGAGAGGAGTAAAGGAGGCCATCTTTGTGAAAAGAAACCGTCCATCATTAAACAGGGGTGGAGGCCTACGTGTTCAACTGTCCCCCTCTTACAATGCTGTGATTGCTAGTATCACTCAGCCCTCTGTGAACAGTAAACAGCCATCAGGTGCTAATGATCCATTGTTAGGCTGATGGTCCTTCTTGAGCATGTGATCAGCTGGTTCTGGTTGTCAGCAGCAAACTGGTTGATCCACTCTGAGACGGTGCTATTTAAGAGACTGAGCTGAATACAGCACCTCAGACTGAAGAAGTCCTCAGGATGAGAGACGAAACGTTTCTACATTTTTTTGTTGTTTTGCTTTGTTTTGTTTTTTGAATGTCCAGAGGACCAGATTGAACTTTTTTTAGATTTTTCTACGTGGCTTCTTGAGCATGCATCAGGATACCAGATAGGATTACCTATCTGACCTCCTGCACATCTCCATCCCCTCTCGCTCTCTCAGATCCTCCTCTTCACTACACCTCCATGTACCCTCTGCCCGCCTCTCCACCATGAGGAGCAGGGCCTTCATCTGCTCTGCTTCTCATCTCTGGAACTCTCTACCCCCTGACTTAAGAAACACCACCTCTCTCTCTATATTCAAGACTGCTCTGAAAACACATCTCTATAGACTCGCTTATCCTTAACTCTGCTGTATGCATTTTATATTCTTTATGCATTTTATATTATTTATGCATTTTATATTATTTATGCATTTTATATTCTTTATACATTTTATATTATTTATGCATTTTATATTCTTTATGCATTTTATATTATTTATGCATTTTATATTCTTTATGCATTTTATATTATTTATGCATTTTATATTCTTTATACATTTTATATTATTTATGCATTTTATATTATTTATGCATTTTATATTATTTATGCATTTTATATTCTTTATACATTTTATATTATTTATGCATTTTATATTCTTTATGCATTTTATATTCTTTATACATTTTATATTCTTTATACATTTTATATTATTTATGCATTTTATATTCTTTATACATTTTATATTCTTTAT